GGTAATAATTTGTCTTTATTCTTGAATTGTTTTCTCCTTTAAGTGGCCCTAATACTCAGCTGTAAAGGGCAACACGCTCCGGCTCCATATGACGTGCATCAAAACAGGTTGTTATCTACATTGTGTATGTGTGTCCACACAGTGGTGGCAACTTGATGTGTGGGCTAATGTGAATCATCACATTAGGAAACATCACAGCTCCACTTTACTTTACCTCTGTTGCACCAGCTCTTCAGAAAAGCAGCTATTGTGTCCAATTCCCTCCACAGAGCAGAGCACATCTGTACGGGGACAGCTTCCTCTGTCCTTGTGACGTGTTCGAGTGGCTCTGAATGGCTAATGTGACCGGATTTTTCAATGGTGTGAGCACCACAAACAAATATCATCCCACACTCCCTGTGTCAGAGTGGAGGCAAACATCTCATTCATGTCATAGAAACAACTGGAAACTAGAACGGCACAGTAGAGTAGTCACACAATCATAGATCCAAATGTTCCTGATTTCATCATGTTAAAGAAAGTGAAAAAAAGAAATCCTGGTCTGGATCAATGCCAAGATGTAATGCATTCTTCTTTGACCCATTCCACATTGTTCCACCAAGTTTTGTGGGAATTGGTTTGGTTGTGTTTGTGTAATGTTGCTTACAAACACACAAACAAACAGACAAAGGTGAAAACAGCAGCAGATTATTTTTTTGGTGTATCTGCTGGTTTAGTGCTATGAAGAGAAGTAAGTGGTTCCCATAATGCAACATACTGCACCTTTTGATTTGAATTTGAATAATTAACACTCCCATTTACATGCATCCCACAGCTTAAAAAGCTTTGCATTTGTGTATTCACTTAATATACCTCATAGCTTTAGCTCACATTATCCCTGTCCCCCTCTCTTTACACTTTACTCTTTAAACCTGAAAAGTGCATATTAATAAACTGAAATAAAACAATATCCTCTCTGGTTTTCTGGGAGAGAAATAATAATTGTTAAAATTGGCCCAGGTGTGATTTCTAGGACATATTCCAATCTAGGAATTGAAGGCAGTCCACATGCATTTCGGAAGAGATGATAATATTTTACACATTCTACAGGTATGTTATTTTTCTGTCCCCCATTCCGAGGTGTTTGTGATGAAACCCCAGGGACCGACATAACCCCCCCCACCACATCTCTCCAAGCAAATGAAAAAAAAAAAAAACGAGGATAAACCATTTTCTTCCAAGCTCCTGGAACTGTGGAACAGATTGTGAATGGTATCTTTTATTTATGGACGGCGTCGGTTCGATACATAAATAATTTCTTCAACAGGGTGTCAGTCGGGGGTGGGGGTGGGGGTGAGGGGGGGCGGTGGTGTGCTTGCAGCGCCAATTCCAGCCGAGGCTGATTTGCAATTTAGGTGTGGCACTGAAGGCCAAAAGTGCTGGAGTTGGCATTGAGCAAAAATAGACAAGAGCTGTGATCATGTGTGACACTGAATAGGATTACCATCTGTAGCTGAGGGGCCGATTGCTGCCCTAGATTGTATTGAAATGAGGGGGCATCAGATTGGTTTGTGGCCGTGACAAGAAAGCAGATTTCTTTTTTATGGTTTTCGTTTAGTGCCAGAATCTCAACTACCCTGCTTCGAGCCGCTTCTGCATTTAACATGTATATATATATTTTTTTTTTTAAATTCCATATTTCCCCCCTGCAATCGTCTGCACTATCTTTGACACCTAAATCAACTCTATCAGATCCCACAAAAGTTCAGATTAGGAGTCCTCAGAAATTGATGACTTGTACCTTCACATTTCTTCATGTTACTAATGGATGAGGGCAGAGTGGAAGCATTACCTCCAGTTTAGTCAGTTCCCGTTTTTTTTGTAAGAGCAGTAGGGACAAAGGTTTTTCCATTATGCTTTCTATTGATTCCAGAGTGCTCTGTGTGCCAAGCCGGCAAACCACCCACCAGCTGTCCTTGCGATGTCAGGGATGTGAATAGGAGTTTGATAAAGCCACAGATGGCATGCTTCTCCCACCCCTCCATAAGTGCCATTCCTGATGTGTTGCCACATAAATGGAGCCGATACAATTTCTACCGCTGGAGCTGAAAAATTGATTAGGATGAGGGAGCAGAAAGGTCCTATAGATGTCGGTGAGTCAGCGCGCTCGGCTGCATATGTATTGTGCACATAAAAACACACGAGGAGCCACTTGAAATGCGTGTGTGCCTCTTATATCATGTGCAGCCTATTTTTTACTCCTCCTAAGAACTTATCGAATACAAGTTGAATCACGATTCAATACCTCTCTCCCCAAATCAGCATTAATGCCAATAATTCTACTCATATCTATAATTTAATCTTTTATTGAGAAATAGAAAACATACTGTATTTGCTATTGACTTCCTATGTTCTCGTCGTGTCTGCGTGGGTTTTCTCCAGGTACTCCGGCTTCCTCCCACAGTCCAAGACATGCAGATTGGAGTTAAGTTAATTGGAGACTTGTCCATTGGTGTGAGTGTGAATGGTGGTTTGTCTCTCTATGTTGTGATACACTGGTAAACTGGCTCCGGTGCCCGCGGTACAGAAAATGGATGTATGGGAGAAACATATTTATAATAAATCAATAACATATGTTTAATTCAATATCTGTTCAGAAGTACCTCCGCTATTCACCTGTGTTAAGTAAACACACCAATTAAATTTAATTTGGTGCCGGCTGTAACTTTCTCTTCACGTGGCGTATTTCTCGCAGTGAAACTTTCTGGAACCCGACAAGCAAACAAATAAACAAGATAGCTTCCATTGTCAGACAGCAGGCAGCCTTCGCTCTACGAGAACAGTGCTGTTGCTCAAAGGAAGAGGTCTTTTTGGAAACAGCGACTCTCCATATGGAGCCACACATGTAGTCTCATTTCTTTTGTTACGGTGACAGTTGAGCCAGCAGACTGATTGTTACAAACACCGAGCTAAATCTGGCTCGTGAAAAGTAGAAGGACGACTCACATCTTAGACTCTGAGCTGCTGAGAAACAAACCTAAAATCCAAGATTTAAATAGGACGCATTCTTTCTTTATAACCCTTGATATGAAAACAGCCGAGGGAGCAAATATGAACCAGATTTTGTGTAACCATTTTTAGCATTAGCTTTATTAATATTTAAATGGTTTCTATATGGTTAGGCTCATCATACAGCACTGCAGTTGTAAGGCTTAATGTTGACTGACAGAAAAGTTTAACTTTCTGTCCCCGAGCACCATCAAGTTGTGCTTTGAGTTCTGTGGCTGGGCCTTTTCAAAGAGTGTCACTGGTGAGCTGAATATGGATATTGGATTGCTAATAAGCTGAGTGCTCCAGTCATGTTGCTGAGCCTCCTCTTTCCTGGAAACTGAATACCCCTCGTCTTATGTTATGTAACTTTCTGTTGGTGCCACCGGTGCTGACGGAGGTAGAACACAAGGACTGCTCGTGTCTAAAAATGTCCTCCGAATACCCCCTTCTGAGTCTTAGAAATGAAAGGAGGAAGGGCGAGGCATTGCGGTAAGATGGAGCAGTGGAGGACATAAAAATCCTCAGGTCTTACTTTGTGTAGAAAATTCATACCCCTGACAAAAAGGGCTCATATGCACCGAAAATGAATTATCATAAAATCTTTTAACTGCTGCCAGATCTAGGTCTAATTATCTGCATTTTTATTTGTATTGGAAAATGTGTTGTTGCATTTATTCAATACTAATGCCAATATGTTGACGTTTCTCTCTTTTCTCTTTCTGTCTCTAGTTCTGGTGTAAAATGGGAAAGTAAAATACTCCCATGCCAATGTAATGTCTGTAATCCGGCATATTCTTGAGGCAACACAATGGTCTCTTCTAGTTGTTCATCAACCTTTTTTCTGCCATAATCTGCATTAGTGCAACAGACATGAATCTCAACTCGAAACTTTTTGCCCTAATAGCAATACATACATACAGCCCAAAGCCAGGGGCAAGTATCATAAAACACCAATTTTATTGCACTAACATGTCATAAAGGTAATTTTCCTTCACACACTCACACTCTGGCCCTAAAACAGTGCAAACAGTCTCAGGTGAGCCACTTCGCATTCTGCAGAGAGAGAAACCTTGAACAAAACTATTCGATCACAGTAGCTGCTACAACTGTAACTGTAATTAGGGTAAAATCTTTGTGAAATGTCAGTTGTAGTCGCTTCCCTAAGTTTTGAGAGATACTTGAGCCTTCGCCAAGCCCTGTCTCCTCAGTTACCAGCAAGTAAGACGGGTTAGAAGCTTTATTGTTTGAGTTGTGTAACAGAACGTTTCAATTAAATCATGACAGGTCAGAATGAATTGTTTTTGGTGGGTGCTCGTTCGTGTTGGCGGTTGTGGTTGCTGACATGAACCGAACCTGCTAACGTAACCTTAAACTCTGTTGGCAACCAGAAGTAACTTTACACAGAAGGAAAATACGACAGTGATCGTGCTCTTGTGTTCTGAGCTTTTTGTTTTGTTGATAAGCAACACTGGAATGTTCCTTAGCCTTGAAGGTAACAATCAGTTAGCCGGACATGCTAACATTTGTTAGCACATAAACACAGTTTCAATCCATTTCTTTGACTTGTGCTCTTGTGATTTTGTTTTTCAAAAAGCTTTTAAAGAGAAACCCCCTCTATATTCTCAATTATCACTATCATCGCACACAACTTTAAAATTTGTAGAATCCATCATCCTCTTCATAACTGAGCTGTGATCATCAAGGATTTACTGATGTTGATTTATTTTATATTAATTAATATACTGGAGCTGATTCTTGCATTTTCTCCTTCAAGCAGATTTACGCTGACCACGAGCTCTCATGCTCAAACTCTTTTCTGCAGAATGAATAAACATCCGTCCCTTTCCACTTATTTCTGCAGTGTGTTCGTCCATTTCAAATACCTCCGCTTCCTCTTGAAGTTGGTTTTCAAGGCAAGAGTCTCTCTCAAAAAAGGCATTCGCCACTCTTTTTATTGACAGTGTCGTTTAATGAGAGGCACTTACAGTAGACTCTAACACAATTAGGAGTTTCATGACAACCTCGGGAGGAAAATTAATCTCTCAAATGAAATTGGTCTCAGTGCTCAATATGTCACCCAGTGGGATGCGACTTCATTTCTAATCATTGATCCTCCGTGAATTAAAGCTCATTTTCTGAACGTGTCGCCTGGCGGAGGCTCCCGCAGCAGGATGCAGGCTTTCAACCTCAACCAGCTCGGAGAACCTTCCCCTCTTCCCATTTGATTCAGGGATTAGATCTGATTACAGATTTGAGCTGGACAACCTCTGAGACAGCCGTGCAATCTCCATTTTTTCCCCTTGTTGAATTCACATAAAGCTAATGAGATTTTGGGTTGAGATTCTGCTGCATCCTCCACGTTTCACGAGCACAAGAAGGATGGATTACAGCACATTAGTAAAAAAACAACTTTAGTCATCCACCCAGTTATTTGTCTACTGATATATTGTTTCTGGCAAATGATGCTCCAATGGGTTGGTCAAGGATTGGCGTTTCAAAAAAAGCCTTTAAAATGACATTCAGCTGTTGTCATTGGCTTGTACTCATCTGCAAACAATACACGGTTTCACTCTACACATCTTTTCTCGTATGTCATGTCACTACATAATAAAATTACTACTGTTCAACAACAAGACACAGACATGATTTTCTTTTTCCCTTTGGTGGAAGTGTATTGTGTACGTGTGTATGTAAACATAGTTTTGACAGCAGCTCTCATTTGAGGAAAGCCATGTGCCACACAAGCAAAGAAATGATACAACCAAACTCCTTATACTCATAGTCCACATCTAGGACAGGTCGGCAGCAATAGAAAACAAGTAATACATCTTTTTCACTTTGCGTAGTCATGAAAATATCTGTTTTTATACAAAAATTAAATACAGTTACAGTATGTTACAACTTTTTTTTTTTTCCCGTACAGGTGAGCTCAAGCATGACTACAAAGCTTCTGAGAAAGAAAAAAGTACTACATTGGTATTTTGTCAAGGGGCTTGATAATAATACATGTGCAGCATTTGGCAAAAAACAACTGACACCCTTCAGCAAATAAAAATCACCAGAGTCACCAAAGCACAGGAGAGAGGAAGTGAGGAGGGAGGAGGTGAGGAAGGGAGGGAGGGAGAACATAGAAGACGGCAAGTAAGGAAGGAGGCAGCGAGGCAAGATGTTTTAAGATGTCCCCGTCCACAGTATTATTTTATTTTTTTATCACTTCAGATGATACTTAGAAATCGTGTGTCTAGTTTTGTACAGTTTGCTCTCAGAGTGTGTGTCGCTGCATCTGAGTCTCCCATCTGCCTCTAATGAGATTCATCAGCCAATGACATAACCACAAAGTGAGGCCCCCACCCGTTTCCTCCGTGACAGCGATAGACAGCGGTGACTTCACCAAGCCTTTCACAGATCCATCTATCGTTCAGCACAACAGATCGGCGCTCGACCTGTTGGTAACACTGACAACCACAGCTGTGGGTATACAAAAGAGTTGCTTATGCCGAGCACGTTGCTCACACGTCTCTCGTCCTTAATGTCCTTAATGTTGAGAGTTCAGTCTCATCATATGTGGTCTTAGGGTTTGGTTGAGGATGGGAGGCCCGTCAGGTCCCTCAGCAAAGGGAAACAATCAGTAGTGGGAGGACTATGGCGGTGAGAGCGACGTGGCAGCCGATCAGTGGATGATGGAAAGTGGCCCGTCCAGACAATTGGTCATCACACTCCCCGGGGCCCTGGCAGCGAACTCTCTCGCACAGGACGCCCGTGAAGCCAGGGGAACAATGGCACCGCTGATGGTGGTGGCACGTGCCGCCGTTCTGACAGCGCAGCATCGCGTTGTCACACACTCGAGCTGCAGAGACGAAGCAAACAGGGCAGGGGAGACAGGAGGGGAGGTGATTAATAGATCACTCAGCGATAGGGCGGCAGAGAACATCAACAGGCAGGTTCACGGGGCACAAGCTGCCTCTTCTGGTCCTGTCTGCATCGCTCTGTGTCCTTAGAGCTCAGCTGACACATTTGGGAGGGTGAAGCCAAGGACTTCAGTGAAGGAGAGCGGCGAGGAAGAGGAGACAAACAACCAGGGCACATGTTCTGTAAGAATTCAGCCCACAGCCTACGGATGCCCTTTCACTGAATGACTGCTTATGACAAAAGAACACAGACAGACATTTTTATGGATTTTACAGATATTTTTAGGAGCACCACAGGAGCAAATAATGCTGGCAAAACAAAAGAGCAAACAAAACCATGGAGGTGATGAGGTGAAATTAATGATCGGTGAATCAAAGGATGCCAGAGTATTAACAGCCCCTCACTTCAGGACAGCAAAATTAAAATTTGTTTCCCCTCTGGCACGACACTCAGAGAGCGGAGAGAGGGGAAGACGTGGGATGGATCCACCAACACTACCTTTTGTTATGCAAATGCTCTCTTCAGGTTATTTCCCATTGGCTGTTGGTTCCTTTTCTGCGGTTAACATTACAACAAACAATACAACACTGTTGGCAGACATGGATGTAATGTCCTGAACCGCACTGCTCCGTTTTCCACGGAGCATTTCTCTGTTTTGATATGGACTGATTAGGACTACATAAGCTAATATTCACATTTCCAGACAAAAACCCACGACTCAATTATCCCAGGAAGCCTCTCTGCTGGCAGAGGTGAAATCCTGGAAGAGGTAATATTTGCCAAGAGATTTCAGTGTAATTGGATATCGCTCCCTGCATAAATAGTAATCACATTTTTGGTTTTCAGTAATGTGACTCATGCGTCAGAATAAACTCAACAAATAATCATCGCTGCTGCCAAAACTGATTAAAAAGGCATCGGGGCTATGTTGACTTCATAACCCCCCCCTTCACACAGATAATGCTGCTGTTATGTGCTTTAAATGGAAATTCCACCTGTGGACGCAAGGTTTTATGATCAGTTTGGGATTTTGAAATATGTCTGTGTGGTGCTGCCATTTTCCTTTTTTTATCTTTTTGGGTGGATCCATTTTTCATGCCTCATCTGCCACAACCAGACTGAACGATTTTGTGTGATGACTTAGTTGTGTTAAACTGTCTTCATGTGTTTATGGGAAAGATCAATAATGATAATATTATAAGAGCAAATATCCTTCAAACAGCGTATTTAGAATGCAGCAGCTCTGGTGTCTGTGTGTGACACATTTCTCTCTGTATGATTGTTGAGTGCTGGTGCAAAATAATGAGTCTGGCAATAAGCCACTGCTCTTTTTGATTCAGGATCTGACAAAGAAACGTGACATTTACCACCGATGTTGTATATGGATTAAAAAAATGTAATTGATGCTGGTAATATGATATTGTGATGTTTAGATTTAACTGAAACACACAGACACACACACACTGATATGCAAATCCTATCATGAATAAGCTTTCATTTCAATTTAAAGGACAAATCAATACCGAACTAGACAAAGATCTATGGTGCAGATGTTTTTGAGCGTCAGGAACAGGATTCTGATCATTTTCATATAACGAGAGGCAGCAGTGCAGCTATGAAAGGGGTTGGATTAGAATCTTTAATATTATCATTGGCTGTATTAGTCACTGAAGTGGATGAAAAAACTCCTGTCATTCCTTGAAAGTGCATGTGATCATAACGCTTAACTGATAGTTTACAGTTTTTTACAACCTGGTGAAGCACAGTAAGTATATTCTCCTCCTCTCTCCCTCTCTCCCTCCCCTTGTGTGTTACACATGTTTGTTGAGTGTGTGTGTGTGTGTGTGCGCGCACACCTGTGAATCATCATGCAATCTACTCCACTAGTGTATAAACCCGGCGCTGCCTCCGTTCTCTGCCACTTGGTCAGTTCACCACAGTGATGTTCACACTAACTCAGTATTTCTCGATTCTGTTGATTTTTTTTTCCTGTGTAACTCTGTGACTTCAGGTTTTACTCACCTGTGACAGCTCCTGCCTCCAAACTCACCTGCCGCTCAGCCCTTCAGCACTCTCTGTCACCTCTCCACACTTTTCAACTCATTGTTTTAGTTTTGTGGCAGGAAACTTTACTGTTTTAATATTTAATATTTAAATTTTCAATATCAGCATTCAGCATTAGGCAGCTCCGGGCGTATGTGTCATGTGATTAGAAACATCGGTGCTGTACCGAGTGAAATGCAAATATGTGAGTGTTAAGCTCACAGCTTGTTTCTGCTGCCCAGACGAGGCTAACACCGCTTAATTATATTTTGATTGTGATGTTTATATTTAAAAGTGTAATCCTGACCTGACCAAAAGTGGTCCCACAACACTGCACACATTATAGGCTTAACCACAGCCCAGATACCAGGTCCTATCAAACCTGGACCTGGAGCCCGTCCTCTCATGCAGAGCCAAAGTGTCTGTTGAACTTTGCATGAAAATAACTCCTGAATCACAGCTGGCCCGTCCTCAGGGGATCCAAACATTAACGTCCTCCCGGCTACACTGCGAAAAATGTTCTCTGGTTTTCCAGTTAATGGACACCTGCTCTGCGTGTGTTCATAGAAATTTCCATGGGATCTCCATTGTCTAGTGTACGCATTAGATTTGCTGCCTGTGGCCGGAGGATAATCTGCGTGGCCTCCAGCAGACCCTCAGGAACACTGTCTCTCTAAAAGCATTTGTAGCTCAATTAGTTTGCTTATGCAGAGGCTTATGAGCCTGCAGAGTCACAGGAGCTGCTGTCGTGACAAAACAAATCTCACATCAAGTTGCTATCTTCACTAACTCTAAATAAAATGTATAATATGCATCTACACATGCACAGCGAGGATCAGTATAGTTAGTAAAACATAAAACTTTTTATTTGACTGTATGAATGAAATCTAACATTTGATTATAGGAGGAACCCATGAAATCTTGGCGATGTGGGGGGAAAAAAAGACGAAGCCAAGATTTTTAATATCTGACTTTCATAAAAATGCACAGCTCACATGAGATGGATCTGAGAAAAATATTTAAATTAAAGCAGCAGAGCCTGGACAGCATTGGTTTATGTTTGCAGACTTTGTAAAGCTCCCTCCAGAGCCACAGAAAACATTCTGCTGTGTATTGATTCAGCGTTATGTTGCACAGTGGTGCAGTGGTTAGCACTGTTGCCTCAAAGCAAGAAGCTTCGAACCCTAGGGCCTTTCTGTGTGTGTGTGTGTGTGTGTGTGTGTGTGTGTGTGTGTCTCTCAGTGCAGAGACATGCAGACCTGGGGTTTGGTTAATTGGAGATTTTAAATTGCTCGTATGTGGCAGTGGATGGTTATTTGTCTCTGTGTGTTCGGCCCTGTGATGGACAGGCGACCTGTCTCCATCCTCTTGACCCTTAAAGGAAAAGTGGTAAAGACTGCAAATGTCCCCCTGTGGGACCAATAAAGGATTTTCTTATCTTAATGGAAGGAGGAGTTTTCCTAAAGGTTACGTAGCTGCCTTCAACATTCAGAAAATAAAATGAATATCATTATAACTCCCCTATATTGTGGTGTGGACATCGTGTTGCCCTGTGTGACATGACTCCCTCTCGGACTTGTGCTGGCAGCAAGTGAGAACACAGCAATTTGAGTCCCAGCTAAGCACCAGCTTGTTCCTCTGAGACGTACGTGCACCTCACACCTCTGTCAGATGTGTCGCATTTTAGAAGTATAACTGTTATGACAGATCCATCCTTGGGCGCTGGTGTTGCACGAACCAACATGGAGAGGAGTCACCATAGCAACAGCATAACAACGATGGAAATCTGGACTCTGAGTAGAAGCATGAGTCTATAGAAAGAGTCCTTATACATTAAACCTGTTTTTTAAAATATAAATTCAGAATCTTCATCTGACTCTTGTGGTAATTGGAGCACGTTTTATCTAATGTGATTCTGAACACAAGACGTTCTGTTCCGTCCATTGTGACGTTTGCAGGGGATCAGTCTGTTTGTGTCCTAAACATAGTCGGGCAGTTCCCTAATCCTCTCATCTGATGCGATGATGAGAGGATGTCTGATTCAAACCGAACTCTCTGAGATTCAGAAAGTCAGAGCATGATAACAAGTTAAAAGTGATAAATCGATGTCCTGGACCGCAGCTCCTGTCAATCCTATTTGTGGAAAAACTAGATTTTATGAGGTGGAAAAAAAGAATCTGCTGAAAAGAAAACCTTTTTTAAATACTTCACTTCATAATAACAGATCTTAAATTACACAAATCGCTGAGTTATAACGCGGACATTTATCTTTAATCGAATAGAAGGCTCCTTTTTTACATGAAATACGGAGACAACAGCAGCTCAATTTAATTTTCATTTTTTAAATGGTCTTTATAATTATACATTCACAGTGTAATTAACTATAACTGGAGACAGTTTTCAGATACAGGATCTGCTAATTATATGCACCGAGACAGAATAGTGTTGCTACAATTACATTGGATCAATATCTTTTGCCATGATGTCAGGGTAAGCTGAGACCTGCGCTCAGCCGTGCCTCCTGTTATCATATTAACATGAAGGCTTCATCATTAGTCATGACTCCAAGCTCGGAAGTTCAGAATAAATTGTCAGCTGCAGAGTCACACTCGACAGTGGCAGGGAGTCGTACTGCAACTAAACACAGAACGATCTTTTTCTCTCCCCTCAAGAACTCGAGTCCTGTTTCAGTAAATGCTCATCAAGTCAGAATCGGAAGATTAACAAGACTAATTGGAAGATGATGCACCCCCCCCACCTGACAAACACAATGTCAATGTTTCATGGAAAACACAAAGTGTTTCTTGAGTTCTGCTCTGGAAACTAAATTATTAGAGTGGGATGGACGGACACGGGCTACTGACATTTTTGTTTAACTCAGCACGAAGACTTGAGGAAAAAACAGCTAGTCATGGTTCCATTTGTGTCCAAACAGAACTATAAATATGGTTTTATCGGTTTAACATTGTAATTTGTGTTGCTTCGCTTGCAAAATATGTTCATAAAAATAAATAGTGCATTCATTACTACACCTTAGTTGGCATAACTGTGGGGAGTGCCAGGGTCTGAATGCTAAGCTAAGCTAGGTAATGAAGTCCAAAAATGTCTCACTATTCCTTTAAACTTTAAAGGTCAACATTCATTAACAGTGTTGACCCTGGTTCACTTAAAGTTTGAATGTTACTGTCTGAAGCGATATATTGATCATTTCCTTTCTTCATTATTTTCACTGAAGCAAAGTCACAGACGTGGTTTTGTTTTGATTTTCCGAGTATATTATATTTGCAAAGACACATTGCCCAGGTTGAGATTTTCATAGATTGTTAATTAGCCATGGTATTAAAACCAGAACAAGTGATCAATTACACAGAATCGATGGATAGAAAATTAATTGCTGCTATTTTAAGACTCAAAACTCGCTCTGGTTCTAACAAATGTGAAGATTGTTGTCGTGCAAGAAAAGGCAGAAGCTTAAATGTGAGAGGGTGAATGAGATGGTGGTTTTTCTTCCACCTGTGACTGCAGCAAATCCAGAAGTCTTTACGTCGAGGCATGTGTGGATAGCTGTGTTATTATCTGTGTCTCAATTTCACGAGTGTAAGAAATATGTAATTTACAATATAATAATAAAACAATGGTTATGTTTCAAAACTAAGTTTCAGTGTTAATATATTCATAATTTTACAGCACCTGGTTCCATAACAAGGTTAAACCTGATTATTGAATACATATTTTTATGACTCATCATTTAGTCACCCATTTATTCAACAGTATGTGCTATTTTTTGGGGTATTTGTGAGAAGAACAAAGATAAATGACTATAGCATCTTGTTATACAACGAGTGTCCAAAAGGAAACACCCTCCCTTGATCATGGAAATCCTGCTGGTCCACTTTCTGCGACTTTACACTTACTACACAGGATATTTGGGCCTGAGGATTAATAGGAGATATCTGGAGATCAATCTACACAAGCCCCCACCCTCTTCTCTCCTTCCCTCTCCTTCCCCTCTCTCCTTTATCCTTGTGAACGTGGCAGAAAGGGTGCGCCCCCAGAGAGCATTGTGGGGTAATTAAAAAGAGGGCATGATCAGAGAGGTTAGGACGCTGTGGACTCTGTGATCACGGGGCATGTGGTCCGGTCCCTACGGTGTTCTCACCACAGAGGATCCTTCTAGTTAGGAGCAGTGTGTGTTGCTGTGCATGCACGAAGAAAAGTCTCTGGGCTTCGGGAAAACAACCGACTGAAGACTGATATTTGAATAGTCCCCCCCCCCCCCAAATTGCCAATTAATAAGCAATCAGGGCTTTCTTTGTGTTGTTAATATCATGCTGAAGTTACAAAGCCTATAAGCCTACCTTGGTTACGATTTGCAACACCAAGAGATGAGGCATTTGCTCGATCTGTGTAAAAATGGGAAAGGTTATATATTACACTGAGTCATATGACACATGCTGTTATGTAGTTAAAGAACGGGGTCAGCATGCATAGATTAATAGATAGTCAGGTTCTGATCGGGGCTGACTTGCCTCAGAATCGGTGAAAAAGTTGGGACGTGTTTTTAGTGCTAAATGGGATAATGTAGAATCGTGTGCATGCAGCTTAAATGAGTGAATTTTCCACAAGACAAAGTCAGAAATGGGTACATGTGGTCGCTGCTTCTGTTATCCAGTGCGAGGAGTCACCTCCAGGCATCAACATGCGTCGGGATGCATGGTGGGGACCTCGAATTCATAAAAGATGGTTCTCTATTCTCTGACTTTGGGAAAATATCTGGCTGTGCTCTTAGAACAAATATGGAAGAGAGGAATCTGTCTCTGTCTGTCACCATTTTGCAAACCATGCTGCACATTGTGCTTTGAAAGTTTCCTTCCATCATTTCCATTGATGTTTATACGCTGTGGAAATTAAACAGCCTCTTAAAAATCTGCTTGTGATGTGTATTTTAACACAATTCTCTTAAAGCTCCATTGTCATTAAGTGTTTCTTGCTATTTCACTCCTGTACAGAAATGAATGGAGTTCAGCTCCCTGCTTCTTTACCAGAAAGTCAGGTCGACATTTCCAAATGTCGAACATGTGCCACATGGTTTGCAAAATAGCAGGAATGTGTGGAAGTATAAGGTTCATGATGACACTAATAGAATCAGTGTGATGAGACACTTCTACTTCTTTCAAGAAACTTCTTCTAATGATTCTTATTTGGAAATTCATAAGGTTTTTTTTCACACCATGCACTGGTTCACTTCCATTCATAGAAATTGGGTATTAAGATATAATTCTATATTAATGGCTTATTTGGATTCACCTTTTCACTGTGGAAAACATAGTGATGGATGATTGGGTTGGGTACCGAACTTGATACCTTAGCGAGTAATGACCAGGTTACGTTCAGCACTGATTCACTTTAAATTAAATGATGCCAAATTCCAGTACCTGAGAGAATAAGAGGGTTCAGAGAGAAAAGAGACCAAAGCTTAAATGACTATATGGTTTAAGTTAGCTTAGTTTAGCATTTTTATAGAATCAACCAGTACAGAGCCACTGGTTTGACCACAACCCTTGTATGAAACCAGTAATACATGATTATGTGTAAACTTGTAATGGTGGATATACTACAGGCACTTTAAAAGACACTTTAAATGAAGTATTGGTACCAGTACTGAATTCCAGGTTCCTATATGTTTTTAAATTAGAACGGTACCCAACCCTAATGAATGACAGCTGTGATGTCGAGCACATTCTCTCTCACAAACATCATCAAACAGGAGTTAGTCACAGTGAGGGATTAGTTCGCATGCAAGTTTAAAAAGCTTGACCAACTTACGCACTGGTCCATGACTGCTGGGAATACCTGCAGAAAGAGCAAAGACACAGTGGGAATTTATTTCAATTTACTTTTGAAACTTGGTTTTAAAACTGCAGGAGAAAATTGTTTGTGTTGTTTATCCGATTGCTCTCTCGTGTGTCCACTGATTAGCAGCAGCCATGTTTTTCCAGAAAAATCTGCCCAGTTCATGATCCAACATCCGCCTTCCTCTGATGATAATAACAGGTCTGCCACTGATGGGGAAAAAAATCTAAACTCAAAACATGAACAGTCTTTTTGTTGTTTGTAATAAACATGTTATTTTGTTATCTGCCATTTGCTTCCCTCAAAACGTAGATAATAGGTTTTTTTCTCTTTCGTCTTTATTTTGTGTTCTGGGTCTTGTCTTTGGCCTGGAACTGACTTTGTCAGCCCTGATTAGGCTTTGTCTGAACCTTATGTGATATGAGTGTCTGGATGCACTATCTTTGTATGATGTTAATGTCATCAGCAGACAAATCCAAACCAACAATTAGTGCAATTTCCGATCCTTTTCAGCAGCTTTATCGCTTTGTCCTTCTGTGATTAGGTTTCTTTGGGGGCTTTCATTGTGTTTGCACTCCATTCATCACTTCATAACCAGTTTGAGGCGGTCACAGCGACTGTTGGAAAGAGCACCACACTGCAGTGGCAGGAAAAGCAGATTTTAAGCTCTAATTTGCAAGAAAGCAAACAAGCTACAGTCTCTGAAGAGAAGTTGTTCTCTGTGAGAAATAGAGGGCCAACAAAACTGCCCTCTGAAGCCAAAACACATTCTACAAACTGATCAAACTCTCGGCCCTAACCCCCTTAACCTGTGAACCTGCTCTGCAACACAAGATGAGTTGACGCTCCCTGCAAAGTGGCCTGTCAACATAATTCTCCAAGTGATTCCTCTTCTGCTCTGCAGGCAACTAACAGATTGTTATTGCGGACCTCCTTATTTTAGGGATTTGAATCACTCTCACTCTATCTCTGCTGTCAACAGCTACGGCCCGTTGAAACGGTGGACTCCAATTTGGGTGTTAATTTATTAAGTGAAGGGTCACGTATGTGCATATATCTGCATGTGCTGGGATTTGAATACATAATAGACCTCGCCCTGTTTCTACCTGTGAGATAAATGACTTCCATGATTAAAGAAGAAGACTTGAAGACAGATGAAAGCTATTAAACCATAATTAGATTTTGCGCGTTCAGCATATTTGTCTTGATACTCGGCCTGTATGTTTAATATCCTCATAGGAAATATGAGCTTCACATAATGGACAAAGGCATGATACAGGGCCTGGGCTTTACTTAGGAGAGAAATAGGAATAATTCAAGACAAAAGTGTGTTCACTCAACACCTGGGGGACCAATATTGTTACGTCACTTCCATGTGCAACATTATTGCATTTTATGCCGCCGCCAAACAAGTGCTAATATTGCTTTTGATATGGCTAGACCTCGGTTTCATCAGTTCAGTGCAGATGCGGCCAAGTGTTGGATTTTTTAATAACGGCCTGTCAATCTGACATTGAGCACCACACTCAAATTCGACTCATAACACAGAAGAGGCGCAGCGGTAAATCCAGCAATAACTCCTTAGAGTTCACAAACGTTCCCACAAGCAAACTCCCACACACAATCAAAGGTGTTGCATGTGCAAAGAGACAGACACATACTTTTTTTTGTGCACATGCATGTACACACAACCGCAGACATATATCATACACTCATCAGACACATACCTTCTCACATTAATCACTGCTTAATCATCCAGGTCATCACCAACAAACAGCCCAAGGAAAAGCAGGAAAGGAACGTTTATTGGACAAACTTACACAAAATCAGTGGATCAATGGCAAAATCGTATTTCGGAACAAATCCAATCAAAGCACCTCATCTAAAGACGTCAGACGATCAAACAGAGCATCTGAGAAACCTGCTGTCAATCCCAGAAGACTGACGTCGCAGAGAGTCTCTGACTGCAAGACTGAATCAGTGTGAACAGAGGACGAGAGGCCTAGATCTTCCACCATCTGGCCTCGCCTGGCTGTCCACCACCACATCCCTGAGTGGCTGTATTAGATTTATTGAGGCAATGAGCCCCCTGCCTCCGGCATGGGATTTGATGAATGTGACTCAACTCCTGTCCAAGATTATAATGGGGATAATGTAAAAGAGCACCTTCTGCCTCAGACACACCATGTGAACAGACAGTTGAGGCAGGAATGCCAGATTCAATTTTTGGACGGACGGCTATTCACATTTATTTAACTTTGAATGAAAGAAACTCAAAATGGGTGACTACTGATGAAAAACGAAACATGTGAAACCTGCAAAACATGCAGGGATTTGAGTTTGGAACTTTTGGCCCGAGGAGCTTGAGAGAAGAAGAGGAAGAAGTTGCCCCTTGATGTTGGTTAACGTCCGTTAATAAACCGAACAGAGAAGAAGAACAAAGGTCGATCTAGAGCCAATTATGAGTCTTCTTACGCGACAGGACAATGGTTAAAAGAAAACATTCCTTATTTCCAAGTCAAATGACAAAATATATATTCACTGTCCATGTCAGCTCTGTTTAAAGCAATAAAATATTTAACAGTGTAACTTTACCAAACCTCATATATTTACCAGAGATGCTGCCCAGAGGCAAAGAGCTGACGAGAAGTCCAACAATCCCCCAAAGACAAAACTAATGAATAAATAAACGTGATGATGTTTCAGTATCGCCATCGTCATCAGATATCAGTGACTGCTGCAACCAAACTGGAAACACAGTGATATGATGCTACCGGCATCAACAGTATCACCAGTAGAACTTGCTGCATTTCCAGTAGAAATAGAAATACTGATGTACTCACATATATTTGCAGTTCCTTTGGGTATGGGGAGGTAGGAGCCCACACTCCAGGCTCTTCCGTGGTAGTGCCTCTTGCAGCGGCTGCAGTCTGGCCCCGTGGTGTTGTGTTCGCACTCGCAGCCCAGCTTCCCCTTGTCAAACACACAGCTGTTGGCATGCAGGTTGCACTTGCATCTGAGACAGAAAGATAACAGCAAAAACAAAGACATGAATAGGCATCATTCTGCACCTATTGAATCGATGCCTTCAGGAGAGAATTCGAAAAGTCTGCCCTTGCTGCGATGTTTATTTGTGCCTTTCAGATTTTTTGACGGGGGTAAATTGAAAACCTGGTGGGTTATCTCACTTGGATTGAGCCTCTACAAAGATTCATTATGCCTGCCTTTAAAAAATGACACCCGGCAAGGTCTCATTTGTCGCTGCCCCCTGCGGAGAGAACAGCGATTGCGAATAAGGTCACTTTTGCCACTCGGAGAGCTAAATGAAAGGCAAGTAAGGTTCACTGATTGAGCAGAAATCAGGGATCTGATTAGAGAGATGATGACATTCAAAAGGTAGAATATCCTGAGAATTCAATTTTTATTTTCTTCAAAGTTACTTTGTTATTTTGCAAGGGAGCCTTCAGGCAGGCAGTCGGAGCCTGTAGCGGTCGGTGGAGCTGGTTTATTAGACAGTAACTGTGGCAGAGTTGACAGATTCTCCTGACAGGAGGGGAGACAAGGCCTGAAGGCTGTCAACACTTGACCAAACCCACCCCCCCATTTGACCACATGGAACAAACGTGCTTGTATTTCTGAGCTGGTGGAAAAAGAACAAATTGGTTGCAGCTCGAGTCTCACTTGTGTGGGTCTAACAACCTGAATGCAGAAGGTAAATTGCACGCTCGCGGGGCACAAGCTTTTTGATTTCACCGAGGGTTGTGTTTACCTCCAGTGAAGAGCTCGAGCTGAGGAAGAACAGACATTGTTTGTTGACACATGAGATATTCCAGTTTCATATTCCAGCTGTGTTCCAAATATAATTCTCCGTATTTAATCTTACTCCCGAGAGGGTAAGAGGTTACAACAAGTGACCTCAGCTTCTCGGGAGGTTGTGGGTGAGAGGGGTTTATACAGAATCAGTTAGGGAAGGAGCCATGGAGAGGATCTGACACAGTAGCCCTCCCCAGGGGTTTGGTCGGCTCATGGTTTCACATCATGCCTATGTTTGTTTTTACAAAGTGCTTCCAAGGGAAGATTTCTCCCGTTTGAGGCAGAGGAGCCGGGTTTCTGTTGCCGGCAATCACCGGAGAACATGAGACAGAGAAATGACAGCGGCAGTCAGAAATACATCCATTCTAATTGACTTCCTGGCCTTACAGTGGCATCTCACATTAATGATGGATAACTGGGGAAACAAAGGGAAACTGTTCTGTATCTGTATATCTGATGAGAAGCTGCACAAAGTCAGTGAATAAGATCTAATTGGATTTCTGGTAACGTAGCTCTTTAGGTAACTTTTCTGTAAATCCATCTATGTCGTGACGCATTATTAAATGTCCATAATACACTATTGAATTGTAAAAATGAGAGAGTAAATTAATGTATAAGGACATATGCACATGCTTCATTTGGTTTAAATTGTGTATTGGAGTATTTAAATTAAAGACATTCTTATAATAGCTTCAAACTATATGTAGTTTAGGACGAGGGTTTTAAAAAGTAATGTGTGATAATATCATTAAAACGTGATATTTGCTGATAACGATATTCATGTTTAATAAATCATCCAAATACAATCTGAGCTAATAATTATACGGCATATAATCAAAAATACGCTGTTCGCAATCATTCATTGACTTTTGATAAATTAGTCGTAGACACAGCTTTGTGTAACGGTGTTACCCCAAATTAGAATTTCACTCAAATTTGAATTGATCGTACAGAAATCCACACAAACCTTATGATCATATAAACTTTTACGTTACAGGAAGAGAACAACTACTCAAGTCTATCTATAAAAGAAAATCTCCCTCTCACTGTCTCACAATATTAGCAGTCATGGAGGATGAAAGTGAATATGAGCCCAGATCACAGCAACTAAATGCAAGTGCCTTTTACCACACATTCCCTATAGTCCTTAACTTTTTAATCAATTAAAGTCCCTGCTCCATAAAATTAATGACTGGCTGTAGCTCTTCTGCCATGCAGACAGCAGCAGCTCCCTGAAGTCAAGAGCGATGAGATTTGACCTTCCACTTAATTAAAAACCAGCAAAATCTGGATCATCGGGTCCGACCGGTGCGGGCGGCGCGCTGATGGAGTACAGAATGTGGACTCAGGGGAGCTCTGGGATGTGATGCTTTTGCCGCTGGCATTGTCATATTGAAATCAGGGAGTTTCTCGTTCCCCGGTTCGGGCCACATGAGGAAAAATACCCTCCCCCCTGTATGTCCAGCCTTTTGAACCGGCACCATTACAAAGACACATTTCATAAAGTTTTAATGACCTTTTAGTTCAGCCCAATAGCAATTGCTATTATCCACTATCCAAACAAGTGACTCTCCCTTAGGAGACACTATGCAGCATCGAGCTGCTGTTCCTTCTTTAAGCCAGGAGTAGAAATGCTCTTTAAGATGATGAAATGAATATAGGTGGAATAATATAGGTGAGTATGTGTTTTTCTTATTGGGAGTTACTAACTCTTCATAAAGTCCCAGTTAACCCACATTACAATAAAAGCCAATACAAACATACAAAAAAGTATATTTATATCCAACCTTGCAGATATTTATTTTTCTTTGTATCTGGAGTCAAATGGAATTTACTTTGTGCTCAAACTGTTGGAAAAAAATCAACAGCAACATCTTTGTCTGGAAAATAATTTATTGAATAATCCAGTTTCTATTGGACTCAAGGTCTCTGAATTGTCCAGAGTAACCAGGACATTGCCTGGAGAAAATGAAGAAATAAAATTGTATTGAAACGTAGAAACGTTGCTGCAGAATTTTATTAATGACATTTTTCAATACTGTGAAATCCACAAATGAATTTACCTTCTTTGCTCTGGTGTGAAAGCAGGAATCTCACAGACAGACCTGAGCAAATAAAACCAAATGTATCTGCAGGCTTAAAGACAATTTTAGATACAACTAAATTGTTTTTTGGACCAAACTTTCAACACTGGTATCATGAGCTCTTATTTATAAAACATCTCCTTTAACCTTCACTCCAAAACAACATGTTGTACTGCATCAGATTTCTGCTGCTCCTGCTTCTAATCGGATCCAGATTCTTGACGGATCTGGTTGTGACCGTATTGTGGCCTGTGATTGTGCATGTTACAAATGGAACAATGGCTGAGTCTCCACAGTGAGGGAAGGTGAGGTTTCTGTTTTCTGGATCTCCTGTGTGTTGATATTCCAGGGGAAAGACAGCTGCAGTGCCCTGGATCTCCTCCGCTGGCTGCTGCCTAACCTTTGCTTCTCCTGGCTGCTTGGCACCACGTTGACAGGCTCACTATGTCTAACACAGCTTTTCTTCCTCGTGACAGCTCCTCGCATCTCTGATCCAAGACAAGAGAGGTGCACAGAACTCGTTACATCAGGAGCTCAAAGTAGAGGAGACTGAAGTGACGGGTTAGGGAAACTTTCATTTTCTAATTTTCAAGTTGAACCTTAACACTGACGGCCCAGGAAAATAAAAGTCAAGTCACAGATGCAATGAATAAAGTTTTCCTGTAGATAACTTACTAATGTAAATTAGCGATGATGGTACTGGCCAAATTTACACTTATTCAACCTGAAGCCATTCTGCATTATCTGCATATTTTATCTGACAAATTTACAGCCGATGAATTAAAATGATCTCAAGCGATATAATCATTTGAATATGGGGAAATAATGTGAAGAACAGAATTAAAATAATAAAATGTAACTGCTGATTGGGGACATCCAGCAGAGAAATCATCATAATGATTAAAAATCATTATTTTCAAACCTTCCAATTTTAGCCAGTATCTTCGTTAAGATTTTCCACCCACAGACGTCTTCACCTGTTTGACTTTGACCTTTTCAGCGAAGGCGTTCTTATGAACCAAACACGCAAGATTGACATATATGATAGTTTTAACTCACACCTTATTAATTTGTGAAGCCTCTTTCTTTTCATGGGAAATATTAGTAGTAAAAGCAATGATGGCTGGATTCCATTTAGCTGCTTTAGATTTAGGGTCCTCGTCCTGTGTGAGCTGACTCACTGTCACATTAAATGCCTCACTACCCACCTGTGTTTATGACAATGTCCTCGAGTAAAAAATGACTCTATAGGTCGTTAGTGAAAGCAGTTTATTACGACTCATACTTTTATTGAAAAGTGACAGCAAGTCTTTTTTTTGCAAAAGCCCCAAAATGACATGTTTAAATTAAAGTGACAGTGCCCGCAAGTGGCTGGAGTCATTATGCCGAAATCTAAAGAGGAAGAGAGTTCCTGTTGAGGATCGCTTGAGAAGTGAATCTGGACTTTCTCTGCAGTTTTCATTTCACACAACGCAGCAGGAGATTCTCCGCTAAGACGCGTTCACAACAGCAACAGCATTGTGACTTTATTTCATTGTAGTGGTTCCTGATGATGTAAATCTAGTCCATGATATCCTGCACCCAAAATGTATCTTGTTACTAACTTCATCCCAGTTTGAAAACTACATATCTCAATGTCTTTGACCTGAAAATCGGTAATATCTGGTCTATTTAATGCAGTTCTACTCCTTTGCTGCTGCTACAGCTCTGATTATGTCATGTGAACACATCAGCTCCAATGGTTAAACCCAAGGCAACATGCCATTGGCCTGTAGCCGAGTCTAAATGCTCAGAATGCCACAGGACGAGGCCACATACTGACAAACGGCTGGTTGCTACAGTCTGTGTTATTCTGCTGCTGTGAAGATAAGGAAAATAGAGAAAAGGAACTTATACAAAGTGGTGTCTGAACTGAGAATATAACTTCCTCCAAGACCATAACCTGAAACCTGGGAATGTTTATGTCGACTGCACGTCTTGAAAGTTTTATAGAATGGTCGTGCAGTATTTAAAAATGTAAAGCCATCTTCCTTTCTTGTTTTCCATTACAGATTTAACCCATGCCTGCCACTCTGAGCGATAAGACAAGCCAGTCTTCCTCCACCCGCTATCTCACCTG